CTTGCAAAGATGGTGGAGGTTGCCTTCTGAGTTAGGGTTCATAGCTGAGATTAGTATTGCATCTTTCCCTGTGGAGGTTAATTTGAATTAATAGCATGAAACTTCCTCACTAGACTGGTTTTTCCACAATTAACCGAAAGTGCCATGTTTACTTTGTCCACTAAGGCTTGGTTCATCTACTCTTGCTCCCTAGAAGCATCATGCATCTTCACCTCCACCTGCCAGCTAAATCTTTCTCTCTGACACCCTGTTTGATCTCCTGTGTCTGTACTGAATTCTACTTGCTCAGTCCCCATGTAGCATTACTCACATACAGATTTACTAATATTTGCCTAAAACGTTTTGTCAGGCGCTGGTTGGAAATAGTGAGATCTTGTTTCAGTAAATGGTATGACATGCTCCTTGGTGTTCTATGCATTGTAGATGCATTTACTCTGTGTTTACAATCATACTGCTTATGCTTAGATGAGTCCTTAAGTGATTTGGTCTAATCGCATTATCTTATAGACAAGGAAAATGAAGTTCTAAAAAAGTAATGTACTTTCTCCTAAGTAATGGCCAGTTAGTGTCATGGGTTAAGCCAGGACTGGAAGTTAGATGTCCTGGTTGCAAGTTTAGAACAATTTCTACTCTTCCTTCCTCGTATCCTTCATTCAACAAATATTTACTGAGCCTCTCCAAAGTGGCAGGCACTCTGCTAGGCCCCGAGCAATGTTGAGCCTGTCTTAGAAGTTGTACTATGAATGTGGAGGAAGATACTAACGGGTATCACACACATAGATGTGCACCGTTTACTCTGATAAGTGCTGCTAAGGATTGTGTAGTCATGAGAGTGGTAATGGGTGGAAGATTTCCTTGGGAAACTGACTTTGACTTGTGGGACTTGGCATTGTGTTTCTGTATACTTTTTTTTTTTTTTGGCAGTTTTATACCTTTATTTGACAATCAGCGATTAGTTCTCATCCACATTAACTGTCTGTAGATTTTTGAAAGTGGTGACAGGCACATAGGTAACCAGTGTGTAAGAGCTTGTTTGGTGAATCTTCATCCTCGTTACGTTTTCTGGACAATCGCACACGGATACGGTATGGAACGTTCCTTATTCCTTTGGCCCAGACAGCTTTGTTGAGCCTGCTGTCAATGCGCACATCTGGAGTTCCCATCTCCTTCGTGGCAAATTTCCAGATCTCTTTGAGTGCCCGAGGGGCACGCTTCTTGAAACCCACTCCATGGATGCGCTTGCGAATGTTGATGGTGTATTCTCTGGTCACTACCTCATTGATGGCAGAACAGCCCTTCTTCTCGCCACCCTTCTTCGTGGGAGCCATTCTGCTGGGCCCTGGTTGGAAAGTCTGTATACTTTTTAAGTGCAATTAAATTAGGCAAGTATTTGTTATGTGGGCCCCAAAAGAAATCAGAGTCCGTAAGCTCCAGCCCCTTCCTCACTGTATAGACTAGAAGGGGGATAAGTCAAGACGTAACTGTTAACGTAAAGCAAAATATAGAAGTTCCATGGTGCAAAGGATGCAAAGATAACTTTTTTTGGAGGGGAAGAAAATCAGGAATAACTTCCTGTGAGAGGTGGCTTATGATATAGGTCTGGAGCAAAAGATAAAGGAGGTGCAGAGAGGAAGAGGGAAGGCATTCCAGTTGTAAGTAAAAGCAAGCAGAGATAGACCAAGAGAGGAAATTACAGGAGTTTTCTGGCAATAGAAGTCGTCTCATTTTATAGCAGCAGGCTCTTGGTGGAAAGTTACAACTATACACTGTTGAGAATGTTGTCTTTATTTAAATGCCCATACAGTCAACTGCAATTAAGGATGGAAATGCAAATAGTCCGTCTTGTTCCTACTCCTGGAGCACATAATCCTGTGCTTTGTTTGGTTGCCATCTATATGAACTGTTTCCCCCATGCCCTGCAGGAACGCTGTCTAGTTCTCTAATTGCTGTATCACCTAGCATTTCACTGGGGTCCAATAAACATTTAATCATAATAGTGAAAAGTGTCTGGTATGTTGAAGCTGTTTTCTCTGGCAGAAGCCAACTTCTCTAGACACAGAAACAGGACTCCTTCCAAATGACATGACTGACCCAGGGTAGTAAGTATCAAATGCATTGTGGAAATAGTACCTATACTAACCTATGTTGCCATGTCGTTTTTACCTTGTTCAGAGTGAGGTCCCAACCATTTCTTCCTATGGATCATATAATCATTTGTCTAAATATTATTGTGGGAAAGGACTGAAAATTACCTACTCCTTAGCATGTGTTCGCCAGTAGCCAGCTACTGTATTCCAGCTTGTGCAAGACAGTGTTGTTGGTCAAGCTCATCGGGGAAGCAAATGGAAAAGAATCTTTTAGAACGTATGTTGCAAATGAATGGCTCCTGATCTAGCTCAGGCACAGATATGTTTTATTTATCTTTTATAGGGTTGCCAAGATCTAAAATAAGGGATAATTGATAGGAAAACCTAGATTTTTTTTGGCTTCCTTGAAAAATTGGAAGATCTGGCAACAATGGGCCTACCTTTGCCAATGGCGGCAATTGGTTGTAGCTAAGCAGCAGCTGTGGTCTTTGATTAGGGAACATGTTTGTCAATGTGCCGCAGTCCCCGTTACTCCCTATTGCCTGTATCCGGCCCATGTTAGTCATTTTCGTGGCTTTCTGGCCCTTAAGACATCTGCTTTGGAATGATTGTTGCCTCTGTGAGCCTCTTCTCTTTAGCTTCCCATAACAATTCTTGGCCAGCAAGGCAATTAATTATGATCAGAACAACGAGCATCTGTGTGCTTTGTAGTTTGCATTGGTTCTCAAACTTTTGCATGCATCAGAATCTTAAAACAGGTTGCTGAGCCTTACTTCCAGAGTTTCTGATGCACAGAGTTTGAGGACCAGAGGATTTGCATTTCTCTCAAATTCCCATGTAATGCTGCCTTTTGAGAATCACCAAGCTACAGTACTGTAATACAATACAAAGCAACCTGAGGCTGGTGGGGCGGTATGTTCCTCACCAGAAATAATATTTGGAAAGAGTAAGCAATTTACCTAGGGTTATAAGAAGAAGTAGAGTCAGATTCAAAACCTTGTCTTTAGAGTATATCCAGCAGGTGTAGACCCCTGCTCTGTACCCTGGTGCTTCCCATATCCACAGAATCCTCTAGAAAACCGTGTTATAAAGACGTAGCCATAGGACTCTAATTTAGGATTATGCCAAGGATGTGATCATTGTCCTGTCTCAGGACACTAAGTTAGAACTTTCAGTGAGCACGGGGCAGAAAGGCAGGGGTTGAAATTTGACATTAGGTATACTGCAGAGGTATGAGGCATACACCTGCTGGACAGGACCTTTGACTAAGGTAGGCCCACCTGGAGTGGGACTCAGAAACAGGACTCCAGGCTGACAGGTTTGCTGCTGGGATAACAAGACAGTTTGCCTGGATAGGGATTAGGTACAGAAAGCAACTACAGGGATCCCTTTTCCAAGATTGGGGTCCAGAGCGGAGCTAGAATTCCTCACTTACTAGATCTGCAAGGTCAGAACAGAGCTAACAAGAAAGGTGATTTCTTCAGTCTCATCATGTTGGGCTTCTTAAAACCTTACTTAAGTCAAGATTAGTCTAATGATATGGCCCTTCCCACTTGGAAGAGAAGGAAGGTGAAGTTTGGGAACCAGACAGGGTCTAACATGGATTAAACTTATTTAAAAAATTTCTTAAAATTCCATCTGTGTAAAACTCTTTGAAATGAATAATTAGGTCATCATGTGATCGTGATAGGCATCAACTAACCTAGTTTGAAAATTTGTATTTCTGCGAGTATATAAATATATTATCAGCTACGTATCTCCAATTTCCAAGGTAGTTATATTTATTTGGATATTTATGTTTATGTATAATTCACACACATATATTAATGTAATTATATTAATGTACCATGTGTAGTTACAGGTTATGGATGTAACTTATTACATCCATGAAACCTATTTTGACTGGGATTTTAGGCACTGGTATAATTTGGTTAATTTCAGGGTTGACCATACAGCATTTTAATTTCAATCTTGTTGAAAAAATTTTTTAAATCTCCTTACCTCTTTCCTGCTAAATGTTGTATGATGAAAATAACAAAGTCCTTTTTCCTCATTAAAAAAATTAATAAAATTCTCAGTCTGATAATGTCGATAAGGCAGATACGAAATAAATACTTTGAAAGTCAGGTGTATTGGAATGGAGGGGAGGGGGAATGGTCACTGTGTTTCACATCATTAATATTAATTGTTCTTCTAGGGGTTTTATACCCTATCCTGAAAAGGAGTGATAGAAACTAAACCCAATTAGTTGAGTCTGATTAAGTTTCTGCTAAGCTGTAAACACTCAAGGGCTGGGTAAATTATGTATTTGATGATAATAAACTATAAACATAGAGGGAATAATTATTCCTGTCCTTTTCCTCTTAAATAATAATTGGTTTAGGATTCAGATAATCACCAGAAATGATCATATGTGTAGCATGACATCCTCACTGTTCTGATGGGGACTGAACACTGTCTTCCCTGTCCTCCTCTAATCGACTTTAAGTAGCCTCAAGGTTTACTCTCTAGGGAAAGATTTGGGACTGGATTCTAAGGGAGAAAAAAAAAAAAGAGGAAGCAAGACTTTTTTTTTTTTTTTTTAAAGATTTTATTTATTTATTTGAGACAGAGAGAATGAGAGACATCATGAGAGGGAGGAGGGTCAGAGGGAGAAGCAGACTCCCCGCTGAGCAGGGAGCCTGATGCGGGACTCGATCCCGGGACTCCAGGATCACGACCTGAGCCGAAGGCAGTCGCTTAACCAACTGAGCCACCCAGGCGCCCCGAAGCAAGACTTTTTGATAAAACAGTTTGGAAAAAACATATGAAGGAAGACGTCAGTGGTGCACAGTACACCATACGATCCAGAGGCACTTCTCAGTGACAGAGAGGAGAGAGATTGAAGCTGCTCTTTCTGTTTGTTTTGAACAGGCTCATGCACAATTAGTTCGAGAAGTCGACGTGGAGAAGGTGTCTGCTTTTGAGAATCCATACGTAGATGCAATAAAGAGTTTATGGAATGATCCTGGAATCCAGGAATGCTATGATCGACGACGAGAGTATCAGTTGTCTGACTCTACCAAATAGTGAGTATTCATCCAGGAGGCCCTTTGGATCTTTCTTTAGTTTCGTGCACTCTGCACTGATAATTTACTGCATTCTTGTGCTTTGTATACGGTATCTGCCTCACACTCCAGCTAGGAAGAAATAGAGCTCTTAAACTTGTGCCAACCTCATACATTTAGACTGTATTCTCAGGGACTGGCATCATGAGTCAGGGAGAGTATTTCTTTTACTGTTTTCTGTTCAAAAAACAGACTGAAGACCCGAGGAATCTGATTTTACCAGCCCATCTCTTCCACCAAACTGTAAACCAGCAATTCTCAAGTACATACTCCATTGTGATTTGAAATCCTATAATAATAATTTTTCATACAAATTTCTGATCTTTTTGTCATGTGCTAGAAAGCACCCACACACATTAAAACCTCCAAACATACACGCTTGATTATGGCTTCTAACACATCAGACTTCCCAGTTTCCAGTTTCCAGACACAGAACCTTGACTGCTTTCTGGGAGCCACTATTATGTTGATGGATAGGTTTGCCTTTGCATGAAAATTTTGTGTGTGAGTCTAATTTTGCATGCATTCCAAAATTATTCTGTGAGCTGTCAATCAAAATCATGTGTCCTGGGAGCGATTTGCATCCTAGAGAGATTTGTTAGTTCTCTAGATTAAACCTCGCCTAACAGAAAGAAAGTGAAGATCTGGCAGTCATTGGATTGATGCAATCAATGCAGTCAGCAATCTAGATAATCAGGCGCCTGAAAAATGGACTTTTTGTAGTATTTAGCCAGATTTCTGTCTACATTAATTATGTTAACCCAGCATTTGCCTCTTATGTTGGTTCTGGGTGGACAGAAGAATGGGTGGAGAATAATTAGCAGCCTCAGGCCAGTTTGTATGATGCAGTGACCCGCTGGATGAGAGCAGGGCTGTGGGAAAATAAGGAGCCCCCTAGGCTGATTGGCCTCACTCATAGTGCCTGGAAGATCCAAGAGCTGTCCAGTTCTGTTTTCTTAAGACAGTAGATCACGTTCTTACTCTCGTTCTAGGCATTTGTGTAAGAGACGTTGTGATTCAGGTCGGCCACAGAAATGTTGCCTGGTCAAAACAGTTCTTCTATGCCTACGGGAAATTTGAATTCCGTAACTCTGGAATGTGCCGTAGAAGGGCTCATGAGCACCGCGCCGGTCATATTTTAACTACTGCGAACCCCCTGGTGTGCCCATGGCAGGTGCACTTTCCTCATTCCTGACTCTCTCTTGCCTTCTTCCACACCTCCAGGTCACTGCTCTTCCATTCCTTCTCTTCTGCTCTCTGCCCGCCTGCCTTTGGCCCTCGTCCCTCCCTCTGGAGCCCCTACTGTATGAGTTTCTGTGAGTGCACACATGAGAGATGTCGTCAGCTCTTGTCTCTTCCAAATTCTGCCCCCTCAACCTTTGACCAGCTGTCTTTCTCTTATTTCCTGCCCCCTCTGTCCTTATGTTTGCTTTGCCATTTCAGATTTCATCTATCTCCCCATGGTGCTGTTGTGTTTTATCGCTTGTTCCCTGTTCCTGCTCAGTATGTCTCCTCCTATCTGCTTGCTTCCCCTCCGCCCTCATCTGTCCTTCTCTTGGGTTCTCCTGTTCCTCCTCTGCACTTCTCACCGTACTACTGAGATGCCTCTCCTGGCCCTTATTAAGCAATAAATCCTCCATGATCAAGTATATTTACTAATAAATCCTCCAGTCTCTCATCAGATCTAACCTCTCTCTCTCAGCTTCTATCATAAATCCTGTCTCTCCCCCTTCCTCACCTGTTCTATTCTTTACCTGTCACCTGTGACTTTTCTCCCTACAAAGAGGTCTTGCCACTGGGGCCTCAGAGCACCAGTGTCTAATAATTACATGCTTACCAGGGTGAGGGTTCCCCCTTAGGAAACGATTTTGCCTCCCACTCTGAGGATGGACCCTGGGAGAGATTCCTGTTTGCCCTGAGGACACCTTATGAAGTGTTGTGCCTGTGTTCTTGAGACAAGGCTCTCCCCCTATCTGGTGATGCTCCTCAGTTGAGATTTGTGATTTCTAGACAGGTGCCCATGAGTTAGTACAAGAATAGGACGTTGCAACATCTACTGCTTTAGGGAGAGAGCTCTTCAAGACCATTTGTTCAGACCCCCATTAGCACTGGGATTCTGGGAAAGCTGCCATCTTAGAATTCTGTTGTATAGGCTGCCATCTACCATAGAACCATGCCTTTGGGCACATCCCTGATGCTGGAGCCAGACCAAGGTGTGGGGGCAGCTGGGACAGGCGCATCTAAACCCCTTCAAGTGATTATTCTTTAAACAGTTTCACTTTCCCCTAATGGGGATATGGAGAAGTTGATTTTCTGAGCTATATATATGTGGGTTTATGTGTATGCACATGCACCTAATTATTTTTTAATCATATTTGTGTGCAGAAGGAAGAAAGTAAATTATTACTTATTCTTACATACCCACATTTCAGTACCCATCTCTTGAAAAAAAAAATAGGACACTTCCCTTCATAATAAATAATACCTTATTACATATAAAATTAATCATCAGTCCTTTTTATCATTATGCCCAGTTCATATTTACACTTCCGATTCTTCCAAAATGTCCTTTAGAGTTGGTCGGTTTTAAGACTGCACATTGCTTTGGTTTTTATGTCCCTTAGGCTCTTGTGATCTAGTGGAGTCCTGTTTGCATTTCATTGGCATGTTGAAGAGATTAGCCTGATTGCCGCTTTATGTAGTATGCATTAACTTGCTCCTTTGTCTCCTGAATTTACTATAAACTGGAAATTACATTTAAAGACTCAGTTAGATTCACGTTAAATGTGAGGAGAATGCACTTGAAGTGATGCTTGCTCATCATTGGTGAAGGGAAGGCTCACCAAAGTATTAGGGCACTGACACCCTTCATTATAAAGTTGTATTTTTCCTCCTGCCACCGAAAGCAATCTGCGTGGTGTTACTTCATCACTGGGTGATCTCTGGTTCCCCATCAGCTCTTCACTTAATGCTTTTACTTCCATTTGATGTCTTGTGTGATTTAATAATTGCCCTAGGGTTTATAAAAGAGTGATTTTTCTACTTTTATCAGTTGGTCCACTTTGGTATTCTTCGGTGAAATAGAAGGTTTGCTATTTGATTACCCTTTAATAAATTTTCTGCTAAAAGGCATATGTTTCGATCTTTTTGTTACAGTAACTTGTTGTATAGATGAAATAGATGGTGACCATAGAATTATCGTTCGAACCAGGACATTTTGAGAAGGAAGGGGTAGCTATTAATAATTAGGCTAAAATAAAAGGTATAAGCTGGGAATCCTGGCTAAACAGGAAGATTTGGTCACTTTAGCTGCATGAAACGTAGGGAGGTGTTTTGTATTTTGTTTGGGGCTCCCCCCCTTTATTTTCTCTAGAAGACTTTGCTTCAAGAGAGGATAGAACCAATATATTGCTACCAGTTATGTAAGGAGTTGTATGTAGAAACCTGAGTTAACTGGGCCCGTGTTTCTGGTCTCTTCCCAAGATGTTTTAGTACTCTTTATAGACCACTGCCCAGCAGCCTGGCTGGCCCACCTTTAATCCCACTGAGTATGAGAGACACCTTATTCTTCCCCAGTTAGTCCAGGGCATTTTTCCTTTTCCTTATCTAGGAAAACCCTCCCAGCAGAAGGATAGGACCTGTGGCGTGTTGGATTCACCTACCTGCTGCTGCGCTCCATGTGTGTCTGCCTCTCTCTCTCTCTCACATGTTGCCCCGGCGGACACTCTGGGAACTGCAGGAAGAGCACCGAGGAGGATGTGGGCCCTACATCTTGAGCACCACTGAGTCCCAGTACTGACTTCATTTTTACAGAGGAACTATGAAATACACATAACTCAAAATCATTCTTTCCTCTGTATTCAGGATAGTTGTTACCTCTTTCCTGACATGTTTGTGTGCGTTCCACTGCTGTATCTTTAGCATTTTATCTCCCTTCTTTACTTCCTGTAGTTCTTCTATGTTGTCCTGTCTTTATAATTAAAATCAACAATACTTCATTGATATTCTGGACCTGATTTCTTACACGATATCATCACCTTACAGAACTCTTTCTGAACTCACGACCCACTTCTCTGAGTACTGTCTCTGCTTGTGGTTGTTCAGTTGAGATTCAGGGGACACATACATAGGTCATCTCTAGCAGGGTGAGAAGTGGGGCCTGCCACACACCTCTGCTCAGAGCTTGCGACATCATCGCTGTTCTCTCCAGGACCCTGCTGCTGATGAAAGTCAGTGCCGGCCACTTGCCAGAAATGCTGAGAGCAAAGGCCAAGCATGCTCTCTTCTTTTCTATCTGCTGAGCTCTTCTTCATCCTTCAAGACCCTATTCAGGGGTCTAGCCTCTGATAGTCTTTCTAAAGTGTCTCTCTCCTCAAAGCCTGACAGGGACTGCTCATGTTTGACCTTCACAAATGATTGTTCCCTGAAATAATAGATGGGTAATTTCCATGATTTCAGTGACCATGATGTAGGTGTCATTCTAGATGAAGTATGAAGTTTCAGAGCTGAAAGCATTCGAGGTTTGTTTTTGGGTTTTTTTTTTTTTTCTTTCCTGCTGTTTTTGAAGGTCTGGGTTCTGGAAAGTTCTGTTATCATTGTAGCTCCTGTTTGCTGAACACTTGCTTTATGTTAGATTCTATACTTAGTCATCTACATGCATTATTTCGTTTAATCCTCAAACCTGCCTAAAGTGGTAGATATTTCCCATCATGCCCATCAAATAGTAGAGGACACCAGTTCTCAGAGAGGTTGAATAACTTGTTTAAAGTCACACAGTTAGTAAGTGATAGGAGTAGGAGTTGAAATCAGATTTCTGTCTCTAGAGCCCAAGCTTTTAATCACTGTGAAATACTTTACAGAGGATGGATGGATGGGTGAGACATAGATAGATAGAAAATTGACCATAGTTAGATGAATAGATGATAGACTAATAGATAAATATCTGTGTCTAGGTAAATCAC